AGAGCCATTAGATTTTTCCCCTTTTCTGGGCCTCCATTGACATCTGGAATGTGAATCTACCAGGAGGCTCCTTGTTTTATGGGGCAGGTATATGGTTCTCCAAACCTAAGCTTTTTCCTGTACATAATGCAGATTCCTGAAAAGATGATTAATGACCTACATATAGTAACTGTGGGAGGGAATAAGGAAAGGAGTACAGGGAAGGAATAAGGGAAGTACAGTTGGAAGGAGACTCAGAGGAATATCCACAAAAATTTTCTCTCTACCTCTTTTAAGAATAGCATGCTCTGGAGTTCTCAACTTCTTCACAGTAATGGTGTGTGATTGTCCTGATTGTGGATTCATTCCCTTAGCATTTGTTAACATTTTGAGGTTAAAGCACTGCTACATTTACGTGGTTTCATGATGATTTATTCAGTTATGGCTTAGATAATGCTTTAAAAATTGATTTGAAATTGCACATAAAAAATGAAAGGTGGTCTTTGAGTGAGAATATTATGAACCATAACCCACAGATTCTGAATTCAGTATCTGGCTATGCTATCAATCTTCTGCAGGACCCAGGGCAACTCAGTAAGTCTCTAAGATTGATCAACTGCTTCGTGTAGTAAATTGATGAAAGTGCATTAACATCAAATCCCTCTGTTTATAGGTTGGCAGCACTCTAAATGTGTTAGGTAATTGTGTTTCATTCTTCTACTCTGAAATATGATGTAATGATACAACTGTTGTCATCTGTATGAATTTTATTTTGAATTGCTTGGGGCCATGTAAGTCATTACAATACTTAGTAGCATAAAGAAGGGGTCATTATGAAGCTCAATATTGTACCATGGAGGATTGAGTTGTTTGGCCTGGAAAGACAGCTGACTCAAATCCAGATGAGCAAAAAGTTACCAGATTCTAAGAATTTCAATTCAGTCAGCCCACTGACTACACCTGACTGTACTGAAAGTGAACACAAGACAATAAGGTCAAGCAGGCTGTTCCTCTCTAAAGCTGAGTCTAATGTTTGCAGAGTTACACACCCCCATGCCCACCACAACTTTTGGAGACAGAACAACTTCAGGTACTTCAATGAAAAATGTACAACTCTATTTGCTTTCTTTCACTGGACCTTCACAGTTACCTGTGCACACTGATGTCAAAGATGAGTAAGCAGTGTAGAGGAGATTGCAAGAGGTTTATGACAGTAAATACTGGGTTAAAACCATGTGGAATAGCTAGTTAAAAAGACAGATCACAGGAGCTTTGGGTGCCCTAGCTGTCACACTCTGTAGCACTGTGACACCAACAGGAGCAGATGATAAGATGGTAAGATAAAATATTAAGTAATGCAGTCTTGTATTAAAAGTTTATCCAGTTATGTAGCCCTCCTCAACATCTGCATTTAGAGCCACATTGGGTTTTCATGTTAAGCCTTGAGCTTGTACGAAGTCCACAAAATGAATACGTTTAACAAAATCAGCTGTGTGCCTTTACAGCAAAATCCTGACAACTGTAAGAGTACATACTGTGTATCATTTTATATTTGGCTTAGGTCTGCATTTTGGTCATTCCTTACCGAGTTTTCCATCCCTCAACTGAATTCTCTATAGCACTAGTGTTAATCCTGTACATCAGTGATGTTTGTATCTAGACCATTGAAAATGTCCATAAGAGAGTGAAAGAAGCAGTACACGGGCATTTCCTCGCACTATATATGCTGGGATGAACTTGTTCACAAATAAATAAAATAGCTTTCTCCCTCAGGTAGGTTGTTGGTTATTTTTGTGCACAGTTTTCCTCTTCTTGAAACAGTAATTTCTGTACATTTTGATAAATGAGAAGTGTAGTATTTTGTCCGACACCTGCTGCCCAACAGACAAAGACTTTTCTTTTGAGTTTTAAAGCTGAAGGACTGTGAGGGACTCATAGCAATCAAATCATCACAACAGTGTCTAAAAAGGTCAAATAAAATGTCTAGATGTGCTGGCCAATCATCTAAATCATCCACCAAAGAGTTCTCAAGAAGAAAATACTACATTACTGGATAGCCACAGCCAATTGCTCACAATTTTTATGAAAAATCAGGCTTTTAAACTGTTTAGTCGGCTGTGTTGTATTTCAAGAAAAATGAAAAAACAACAGAATCTGCAATTAGTAAAAAAAAATGTACCTTTTTAGTGCTGGATACATCTTAAAAGTTATAAAAGGCTTTTTATTTTAAGGAGAACCAAGATACAACAAAAATTGTGATGGCATGCCAGCTATATTTTAAAATTGCTTAGGCATGTATGTAATAGGCATCTGTCCTGCCTGTAAAGAACGAGAAACACACAAATTTGAAATGTACATTAAGATATGCCACAAAGGATTGTGGGTGAATTACAGCATGGTTGCAAGTGATTTTCTCACATAATTGAAAGATCAAAGCAGCATGACCAGGACACAAAACGTAATTTAAATTTAGTTGTTGCTTTATAATATTTGGTTTCAAAAGTCCCAGGCAGAGGTGAGATGCAGAATTTCTATGGAATCCTTTTGTTGTACCTAACTAGATATTGACTGCTATCACCCAAGGACATATCAAACTATAGGCAATCATTGATCCAATATAGCTTTGGTTTTCCATTATAAAGAGTTCCCTTTCATTAGAGTTTTAAAGGATTTAGTGTGAGAAAGTAAAGACCCTGTATTCATGACCTGGAATAATCTACTCTTTATGAAAGGCTAACAAAGTATAGAAAATCAAAGAATGTGCCTGCGGCTGCAGAGGTTTTATCTGAGTCTAATCTAGGGGTCACTGGAAAATTCAATGCATAATTGAAGATTCATCAAAAAGAACTTCTCAGATTAAAAGCTACGTTTACTGTGTGAATGAGAAATCCTGGAGTGTTGCTTTGCTTTTGTGCTGTTTGAAGTAATTTTCATTTTTTTTTAATTGCAAGAATAAAAGAAGCAGCTCAAGGAAAATGAATAATCACATCAGGTGTTGGTTTTCCTCCTAAAATGTAGCAGCTTTCTCCGTGGACATGAATGTTCTATATTTAAGATAACTGATGCTGCAAACCCTACATCTCACTCTACCAACCAGGCCACAGCCATCTATCACTTTTTCTAGTATTAAACATTTTGTTTGCTTCTTTTCAGATCTTAGGCAAAGAGAAGACAAGTCAAAAAACAACCCTGTTGCAATTCCCAAACTGAAAGAAACTTGGATGGGTTTTATAAACCCTACTTTTTGAGTTGTTTTTTATATAACAGCATACTATTTTGAGCTGTGTATGAGATGCACATGATGGAGAGCTGCCTGGTCCCAGGCTGACCACCTGCCACAGGGCATTGGCTCATGGGGCAGAGTGTGGGCAGAGTTCAGCTAGGAATATGCCTCCTGTATAGAGCAGAACAGGAGAGTGAAGTGCTGACTACTGACCTTTAAAAGCACTGAAGCACTTTTCACAACAAAATAAAAATCAATTTCATTTCAAGAAGAGTAAGAGAAAGAATGTTCAGGGACATCCCTATAGACAAAATGCCTAAAAGTACTACCCTGAACTTACAGGTCACCTTATTCCAAGGGATCTCTTATGTGTCAAAGAAATGTCACACAGCGACATCAACAACAAATAGACAATTCAATGCCCAGTACAGCATGGGAGCAGCTATGATGCAGTTAGTGGCAGCAAAGTGGTAGGGAAGTGGCTGACAACTACCTCCTGTGGAGTGAAAAGATCTCTAATTTGAGGAAAGGAGAAAACAATGGCTGAATATGACTGAAAAAAACCAAGAGGAAAACAGACCAACTTGCTAAGTTGCCTCTGCACTCTGTGTTTTCAAAACTTGAATAATTCTCTGCAAGAGTCCTGAGAAACCACTATGCTCCAACTTTTCTGGACTGCTGCACCTGGGACCTGTGCCCATGATGCTGGGGGCACACCATGTAAGCTCAGGTCCAAACTTAAGCTACATTGTAGATGAACCTGTATTCAGTCCCATCTTTGATCTTGTCTCCCAGACCAATGCTGAAGGTAGCTTGTCTCCAGTCCTGTCCATGGGCCATGTCTCCTTGGATGGACCTTGAAGCTGTCTTTCCTTTTCCTACAGACCAGAATCTCTGTATGGACCTAGTTCATCACCTCACTTCCTCTGGGACTGCTGATGGGTCCTGCCAGTGCTGTTGGTTGCTGTCCCTGGCCTGCTACCTTGCTGCTCTCTCATTGCCTTGCCAACCTGGCTTCCTACCTTGACCCCGGGTCTGCATTGTTTCTGCAGACTCAGTTGAGGGTCAGTAGACCATCACAGGGTTCACCACAGTTGCTTCCCCTGAGCTGCTGGACTCACCCTGAGCCCTGCCTATGCCTGCTTGGCTGCCTGTTCCCCTGACCCATGAGAGAAACTTGGTGCTCCCTGCTTGGAAAGGCAATCAGAGCTGATAATATTCCCCTTTATATCTGTGGAAATATAATTTATTTCAATTAGCTGAGCAAATTGTCCTCTGGTTTGATAGACCATTCTGAAGGCTGCAGAAATCAAGCCAAATCTTCCCTTTCACCTCATCAAGCTGCATATTGGCAGTGAACATAGACACAGGTGATGTCTAAAAATCCTACCCTATTCTAATAGGGAAATTCTCATCCACTTCAAAGGGAGAAGGAATAAACCTCAAGTCTCAGTCCTTGAACCCACAAAGAAGAAGACAAAAGCTGTCCCCTGCAGAGCATACAACCAATAACTGTATTAGTACACTTAAAAATATACTTAATAGGTCCATACATGGAAGTTAATTAAGCCTGCTGTTTTATTATAGAATTATAAATAGAGTTGTAAATATGTAATTTTCCTAAGCAGTTTCTAAGTTTATTTGTCCTCCTTCTCTTCCACACAGATGTGGAAGGCTAAAGTCCTATGGGAGTCTGATGAAAAACTATTTCTACAATCTGATTTTGATTAATGAAGTTCAGTGGGATAAAATTTGACAAATTACTGCCACTATTTACAGAAAAAAGTAAATCTCTTACCTCCATTATCTTTTAGGTGCAGTGCTATCTTGGTGTCATCTATAAAGGAAATTCAGAGTTAGTTGAAGGAAAATGCATTATTCTAGGTCATGAGTAATTTTAGGAATTGGTTTCTAATGTCAAAGACATTCCACAACTTGAAAATTATTTAGTACTCAACTCAATGAGAATTAGATTATGGTGTTTCTTACACTGAGCATTACCTCATTTCCTTACCAGTAAAAAAACATATTTGAGAGCGTTAAGGAGGATTCAAAATACTGGTAAATAAGGGTACTAGAGTCTGTCACATAATGTTTACAAATAATTCATTTATGTTATAGGTTCATACATATCTTGAGTGTTCTGTCATATTAAGGACTGTATGATCTAACATATTACAATAAAGTAAGACTTAGATCCTTTTCTATGAATCATGAAAAGGTCTACCAATATTAAATCATATTTATTTCCATATTCCTCTTCTTCTTGGGAATTTTAATGAATAAAATGTCAGGGAATATTCCTTTTAATGCACTCTGAATGCTGTACCGACAGTTTCTAAACTTTTATTGGTGCAAATAAAACCAGACTTTCTTATCAGTAGATTCTCACTTTGAAATGCCTTCAGCTCAAATTTTCCTTGGAAAATTTGCCTGTACTTTGTACCTTTTCTTCTGTTAACATACAATGTCAACAGACAGACACACAAACTTTATAGATGTTCTTTGATTAATCTGATATAGCTTTCCTGCCCAGCTGAATTTTCTCCCAGAGCAGGAAAGCAGGATATCCCAGTGCCAGAAAGACAAGATTTAAGTAGCCAGTGGAACAAGGATGAGAACTGACACACCATCACTTGCCCCGTTAATTCAGTGCAGAAGCCTAGAGAAACTATTTCAAAACAACAGTGAGCACTACATGAAAAGAACAGTGCCAACTGGACTAAAAAAAAGTAAACAGGCATATTTCAAAGAGGTTTTTGATTTGGGCTATCTTTAATTGTCACCTGGCTAAATAGAATACCTAAAGGAATTAAAAATCCATTAAATCTGTAGTGGGAATTTCTTCACTAACTTTAAAGGGGCTGTCTACTACTACTAATCCAGCTGGTTTGGACTATGGCTTGATGGCAAAGGAAGTTTTCCAGAAGTCTGCTTGATTTGCCTTTGCTGCTCCAGCACCATCCACTCCTCCAGCCCTCATCCCCTTTGCACCTTACTATTACAAGAATGAGTTGCAAATTAAAACCTGTAGCAGATATCTGCTAGCAGACTGCTATTTTCAACTCCTTCTGCTGCCTCAGAGAGGAAAGGTCAACATGGGCACACATACTTAGAGGAAATACATTTCTTTTTGACTTCTAAATGACTTGTTTGCACTATAGAATAATGCAGTGTATACATGCCACCTTCTGTGGGCAGGCTAGTTGGCAGGTGGGAAGTGGTGGATCCTCTGGTGGTTGTTAAAACTCTGAACCTTGTGGTGGTTGGCAGAAGGGTGGTGGTGGAGTATGGAAGTGTTTCAGTTGTGTCTATGTTCTTCTCACAAATCTTATCTTTTGCCTGTGGGGAAAGGACAGAAACAAAGAAGAGAAAATTAACTCTCAGTGGAGACTGCCACTGAATAAAGAATTTAGGATGGACAAGCTGCTGAAATAAAATGAATTAAAATAGAAACCCTAAATCAAGACATTTCAAGAGCTTTCTCTTTTAGTTCCTTTTTTTTTTTTCTCTTTGAAGTGGTCTACACTGCATTCAGTAACATGTATTTTTTTCATTTATCTGTAAAATTTACAACTCTCAATTATTAATGACAAGCCTTCAAAGTCTTCCCGGTTTTTAATATCTAAGATTATAGTATAGATTTTTACTCTTCTATTATGAAAGCTCACTGCCATCAATACAGGTGCCATAAAATATGTTAAAAAGGATATGTGGGAATTAAACTGTAACTCTTCATAGTGAACAGTGTGTAGTTAAGCGGAGCATTTAATTCAGCTTTCATGCAGTTATCACAGAAGAACACACATATATGTGTAAAATGTGTACATGGATTCAGCCTATAGAATATTTATTTACTACAACAGAGCAACACATTCACGATATGTCTACTAATTCTACATAATATTAAAATATCATGTATTATTTGTATATATAACAATTATTACTCTAAATATAATATAAATATAATATAAATTATAATAAATAATAATAATGAAAATTATTATAATATATTATCACACTATAAATAATAGTAACCATAATGTAATAATTTTACTTTTATTTTCATGGGCAAATATTTTGATACAAATTTTGTTTTGGTTTTTGTTTTGGTTTTTGGTTTGTTTGTTTGTTTGTTTTGTTGTGTTTGTTTTTTAATTTCTGGATGGCACAGTTTTGCAGGAATACTACATCCAATTAACCTGCAGCAAATACGGGAACTGCACGTAACTCCTCCTGTCCCCATTCATTTTAATGAGAAGTGAAGTCCTGAAAAGCCTACTTATTTTATTGAGATCTGGCTGTCAAAACCCAGTGGGCACTGTCTTTCTTTTAATATGCAAAGGTATTTTATTGCCCTTTGTTTTACCAATAACAATATATTGAATTAAAGAAAGGTATCAGTGTCTGCAGGATAATTATTCTTTAAATTTCTTTGTGTTTTCTCTTGAAAACTACTGGTATTTTCATTGATACAATATAATAAAAATTTAGCTCAAAATACATATTACAAAACAAGGAAACCCTGTTATGAAGATCCCTGTTATTCATCCTCTTTAGTGAAGGCATCTATAATGAACCATTGTGTGTTAATTATTGATCCTTCATTGAACTCTAGCAGTCAGCTCAGGCATAATTCTGGAAGATGCTAAGTAAGCTGTTGCTTCTACTCTAGAGACCCTGAAAACTTTGCAAATTAAACTATTAATTTCTCAGATTCACGTAGTGTATCAATAATTTCCTCTCAGGTCATGCACTAAACCTGGGAGCACTAGCTGGACTGAAACAAGAAAGGAAAAGCAGAATGGGATGCTACTGTCCTGCAGAGAGTATTTTTTGGGTAGCTTCATTTACAAGCACAACTGAGTCCTAGCTATTTATAATTGGATTGAAGCTATACAAAGGTCATGGACTATAGTAAAACATGCTTCCAGTAACTTTTGTCTTATGTTCTTGAAGAGATTGCTCTTCACAGAAATTTTGTTCTTAAATCAGCAAATTACAAACTGCAAAGCTGAAGCTTCAAGGCCATGTAACAAGGCAGTAAGTAGGATGCAGTTATTTTGCAATTACAGTTATAAGAAAAAAAAATAATTCTTCCATTAGTCTGGATTTATGCCATTACTTCTCTTTGCTTCTACTGAGAATAAAACAGTGTGCTTTTCTAACTAGACACTTGGGGCTTTGTTTTGCCCTGAGTTTCACCTGACATTACACATCAGAAGGTCTATGTTGCTGAAACTCATGAGAAAATTTAGCTCCTTCAGCAAAAATGGAAAAATAACTGCTCTTTTTTGTGGCCATCATGAGATTAAAAGTGTCCCAAATTATTTTGTTTTTATTACCACAATCCCCAAATGAGCAAAAAATAAAATGAAAAAAACCCAAACCCAACTCCCAAACTAAAAATCCTTATAAAGGAAAAAGAAACACCAGCAGCATATTTATATACGTGTCTTGAAAATGAACTGTTCTGGTCTATGAGTACCCCAAATAACTTTCAGAGGAGGTTTATAGTCCCTGTTTGACAGCCTGCCACTACAACAATCAGGTATCTTTCTCATCCTCTCACTGCCACCCCATGAAAGGAAATCCAAATGCCCTGTAGTGTTGGTTGTGTGAGGTGTTTTTTTTATTATTTTTAATTTTTATTTTATGTCTTTGAATTCATCTGTTTAATGTCTTCTGTACTAAACAATTTGACCAGATTTCATTATCAAAATGCAATGCCCGTTTTGCACTAGAGACTACTCTGGTTTTTTGAAGTGAGGAAAATCACAGTTTCTTCCCCTTTTCTGGCAAAAGTCAGAGATCTAAAGGAAAATCAGCGCAGGGACACTGTTTTGGAGCAGGTTTTTTTCTCTTTTTTTTTTTTTTTTTTTTTTTGGTGTGTTTTTGTTGTTAATTTATTATTATTATTGTTTAATGAATTTTCTCAAGGATAAAAATTCAATTTGTGTCCATTTTATTCCACCAAATGGAGAGTGAAATTGCTCAGCCTATATTCATCTTTATTATGTATTATAGCATTTCCCCCCAATAATAAAGATAAATATAGCATGTCTTTGGCCTTGAAACCATGCTTCATAATCTGAAGAATTTGATCAAAAGCATCATATCTATATAAGTTGCCTCTGATGGGCTGAGGATGTAAACTAATCACATACCTCTTCAGGGCAGCCACTGTCTACCCAATCTTGCCGGTGACGGTCAAATCCACTGGAGCATCTTTAAATGATGAAATACACAGAAGTTGTTCCGATGGAAATAGGAGGAAAATAAGAATAAGAAAGGAAAGGAGAGAAACAGCAGAGAATGACAGAAAGAATAAGTAAATGATGTGATTTAAAATCCATATGATTTATGTGGTATCACTTTTATTTAAGATGCTGTTTGTTACACTGTGAGTCACTCCTTTAATCCAATTCTTGGAAAGGTGTTTCAATGAATGAGGCTTTACTTCAGGTTTTTAATTTATTTATAGTTTTTAAATAGGAATATCACCCTTTCACTGGATAATTATTCTAAAGACTGCACTGACGCATAGCATTTTTAAGTTTGATACCAAACATAGTGATGTAAATTGGTTTAATTAGTTTTTGTCCAGACTTCTTTGCCAGGAAAATTTAATCCCACAAAGGATGCAGTGAACCAGTCACTGTTTTTTCAGTCAAAGTGATCTGATACATCAAAATACATACACTAGTGTGATCAGTGCTCACAGGTCCTCTGAACACTCTTCATGACAGTTAGAGAATATTATACAACTGCTTCTGACTCTTCACTAGATGCAGAAAACTTAAATTGGGTGCACATTTTTTATCAAATTAGGTGGCTTTAATAACCTGTCAACAATATTCTTTCTCATTTGCAATATGTAATGCAGAAATTTTTAAGAAACTTGTAACACTTCAATATAATGATTCCTTTGGCAATCCCCATCTCACAAGAGTGTTATCAGTGGTTATAAAATTAGGTTTTCCTAAACAGGTTGCATCACAAACAGAGAGCATTATTAAAATGGTAAGCAAATAATTAAAGAATGATCTTCAACTTTGAAAAAGATTCCTCTCAGTTAGGGTGGCTTTTATTTTGGAGGGTTTGCTGTTTTTAATTTTCTGCTTTCATTTCCTGCAGTATTTTGTTATGAGACAGTGTGATGCCATTTGTCATCCATGGCCATAACTTACCTGATTGTACAACAAACAACTTTCTTGCTGTCATTTAATAAGGAAATAAGGCCACTGTTATGGTTAGCTATATTTAAGGGGAAACCTTTGTTTTCAAAGAATTGAAAGATGAAAAGACATGCCAAATACCACCCTACGTCAACCAAGATAAACAGGTGCATTTAGAAGAATGGATCAGTGGGATTATTTTTACAGGAGGAGAGGATGTTACAAGAAGATTTAAACAATGTTAAAAACATACTTGGGATAAGAAACGTCTCCATATAGTTGCTCTGAGCACAATCTATAATGTCTTTGAGAAAAGTTTTTGAGAAAATATTCATTCTCTTGTTATACTTGCACTGATCCACATTCCACCATTCGCAACATTACCAAAAAAAACCTAAAACAAAACAAAAAAACCCCAGTGCTAACAGGTGTCAATTATCATACACTCTACAGCAACTGACTTCTCCAAAAACCTATAGTAGTTAAGGAGAAAGATGTCCAAACAAGAGAATGTGTTCCAGAGAAACAGAGACCTCCTTCTCAGTACTTGAGGCCCTCAATATACACAGGACATGGACCTGCTGGAACAGGTCCAGGAAAGGGCCACAAAGATGATCACAGGACTGGAGCACCTCTCTTATGAAGACATGATGAGAGAATTGGGGTTGCTCAGAGCCTGGAGACAAGAAGGCTCTGGGAAAACCTTATAGCAGACTTTCAATACTAAAAGGGGTCTTGTAAAAAAGACATAGAGAGACTTTTTATTAAATCCTGTAGTGACAGAACAAGGGGTAATAGTTTAAAACTGAAAGAGAATAGATTTATATTGGACATAAGGAAGAAATTTTTTTCAATGATGCTGGTGTGTCACTAGAACAGCTTGTCAAAAGAAGTTGTGAATGTCCCATCATTGGAAGTGTTCAAGGTCCAGTGGGATGGGGTTTTTGCAACCTTGCATTTAGTGCAAGATGTCCGTGCCCATGTCAGTGGGGTTGGACTGTATAATCTTTAAAGCTCCCTTCCAACCCAAACCATTCTATGAATACGGGTCACTGCAAAAAGTGTTTTCTTGCTGAAGGGTGAAGGGATCAGTGCTATGCTGGGAGATGAGAGTGCTGCTTCTACATCTCTGTGGTGTTCTGTCTCCACGAATGCTTGAAAGAACCAGAAAATCTTACTAAGCAAAACGAAATGATGACATGACATTCCAGGTATGAGTAGAACACGTTTTTTTTAGTCTCACCTACTTTTCTCTGGAGTTTGAAGAATTTCATTAGTAACTTCTGTGTTCATCTCAAACCAACTGTACTTAGAGCTAGCAAGGATTAACAAACTTTTATCCTAGATTTTATCTTGGGTCTAAGTGTTGTCAAATTTAAGGCTCCAAAGATTAAATGAATAAAAATGTATTCCAGGTCCACTCATTTACAAAGTCCTTAAATTTTTTCTTACAAACTACTGAATTATGGTGGTGACTAACATTTGTGGGATTATTTTTTTTTTCCTAGGAATTAACAAACTACCACAAATTGAATGCAACATGTAAGGACTTGGAATGGCTCTTTCAAACATGTGAGGCACTCTTGAGATTACTCTGACTTAAAAAGAATTACATTAAACCCTGAGCACTGTTTATTTAACATTTCCTACCGATGCACAGTGAGTCCAAACAGTATTATCAGAAAGCAGCTTTATCAGAAATGAGATAGGCTCCAGGCAAACCTGTTTGTGAACTTCCTTTGAGGCATATATCATGAGATGGCAGCTGCAGCAGCTACTATTGCTGTGCTGTTGATTTAGAATTCTGGAAACTGTCATTTCAGCTCACCACCCACTTTACTGACTGCGTTTTGTAGCATGGTGATAATTCCCTGTTTCCATTAAAACACTGGAGCAGATTTGATTAGCTATGCTGTTTATGCCATCTGTCAACATGGCTATTTTATAACAACTCCATTTTCAAGTGATTACTGAACTCAGCTCCTAGGAAAGCAATAATAAAGATGTTCTAGAAAATGAGAATGGGGACATTTGTTAAATGTAAGGAATTTCAGGATTTGTGTGGAACTCTGGAGTACTGGTTCAAGGAGGAAAGAGAATTAATGTGTCTGCATGTATAGCAATGACAGTTTGGCATAACTGATGCAGCTGAGTCTGAATAACAAGAAAGCTGTCAAAATCCTTTCAGTGAACTGTATATAGTCAGAAAGGAGTTGGAGATGGATCCTATCTACCAAATGCCATTTACTGGTATTTGGCAGAGAATATTTAAAAGATGTGTTCATGCAGGTGTATGACATGAAATGCTTTGCTGCTTCTCTCTGAAGACAGTTCAAATGAGGATTAATAATAATAAATTGGATAACCTATATACAGAAAATTCATCAAGATTTAGCACGTAAAAGCTAAAGACATAACGGAAAATTATTGGGAAGGAAAGTGACAAAGTCTGTATAGAAAAATCTTTTCACCAGGTTGAGCTGGTATAAGACAATGAAGAGCATTAAAATGCAAAACACATGTCCTTTAAACCAACAATTCCCTATTTTTTTTGGCTCTGTAAGAGCATGTAAAGAATGGATTTCTGGGACTGAATCTGAAATGATTTTGTAAATACTACGTAATTATTTAGCTCAGTTAAAATGCTTATTGACTCATCTAAATAAAAGGTTAATCTGGAAAATTAAAAAGGCTTTCCTGCCTTTAACCATTAATGAAGGACCATCACATTATGGAAAGATTATAGCATGTGTTAGGATGTTTGAATTACTAGAAGAATTAGAACATTTTAAAATGGAATTTCTTTCCAAGTTGAAACAGGAAGCAAAAGATAAATAAATAAATAAATAAATAAATAATATGTTAAAATAACCTAAACTGGAGGTCCTGAACTTTGTCTCTGTCCAACTGAAAAATAACTCTAATCATAGAGTGATTTTTGGAGGAAAAAAAGATTTATCTTTGTGCTTTGTCTGGTTTTGCCTCCCTTTATCACAGAACAGGCTCCACTTTTGTTCTTTCATCCTTCAAATATTACTTACTTGTCATACTGTGCTGTCTGGATAAAGACTGAATTTTCGTACCTTTGTTATTTTCCACTTTTGGATGCAGAACTTTATCACAGCTTGAAATACTTATGAGGTTCCAGTGAAGTGTCACTGTGAGTGACTGTGGAATGCATTTGTAAGGTATTTGGATGGTGTTTTCCTTATCTCCTAGTTCAATACACCCAATCATATATGTGAATTCAAGAATAAGTGTGTTCTTTGTATTTATCCTTTACTTAAACATTGCTTAATGAAAATGTACTTATGAATAGGATGACAATTTGATTAGTCAGAAGATTTGCTCCCACTTCGCTGTTGTAGAGTAAGAATAGCTGACTAGCTTAATAAAAGGATTTTAAACATATGGCACTACAAACAGCCTGTACTCTTTTAATGTTTATGACAAATTTGATTCTAATTACTAAGGCAGAGTTAATAGTTGATGCAGCACTGAATTCCATCATTGTCTTAAGATTATGTGTTTCTCAAAATTTAAAACATTCAGGAGGATCAGAGTAGCATAAAGTTCAGCAGCTGATCTTCAGCCTGACAATGGTTCCAAAATTTTATGGGATGGAAAGTTTGGAAAAATATGACTACATGTTCTGTAATGTACTCTTGCAATATCATGTAAACATAGAAGTGAATGTTGATAAAACTCAAGCTGTTATTTTACAGAAAAAGAGTGAACATGAGTAAGCCTCAATATTTGTAACTCTGACACAACATTTGAATAGGCAGTAGAAAATAAAGACACCCATAGGGAATTCTTTCTGTTGAAAGAAGCTAAGAATAAAAGTGGGATAAAAGAAGTAAGTATTTTTATTTCCAATTCAACTAGATAAAGAAGAAAAAATTGTGGTTAAAGCAAGACTTGGTAGAGTAGTGATTAAAGAAGAATAGGAGGATATTTTCTATAAACTTAATGTCAGTTACAACAAGAAAGGAAACATGCTGATAAACAGATAAAGAAATAAAAACATGCTTTTGCTAAAGGCTCTGC